AAATGCACTCCAGTGAATGTGAAAGTCAATATGACAGAAAGAAACTAGGTAATCGAATACTCTGACAAGGTTATTTTTGGCGAACACTTAGAAAGAATGCAAAGAATTTCTAAAGGAGATGCAAACATTACCAAATATTTGCTCCCATGCAGCTCAAACCTTCCTAGAAGTTACAACTCATCATGAGCTCTTGACCATTCACCATTTGGTGACTCAATCTCCTTAGCCCCATCTCACCTTCCAAAGAACAACACAAATTCATACTAGTCATGATTGACTATTTTTTTAAAATGAGTGGAAGTCAAAGCTCTCAACCGTATTACCTTTGAGGGTGTCTTCTATTTGATTTAGACAAACCTGATTTATTAGTATGACCTCTTGATGATAGTTATAACCAATAATGGAATATAATTTGTCAGCCAAAGAGTCAAAGACTTCTGCCAAAACCTAAGGATCAACCTAAAATTTGCTTCGGTCCATAATCTACAAACAATAGATAAGTTAACACCACTAATGAACTAATCCTCAATCTTCAAAGGAATAAGGTTCAAGGAACGAATGAAAAGTGGACTAATTTCCTCTCATTCATCCTTTGGGCACTAAGGTCCGCTCCTTTAACTGCAACTAGGCAAACACCTTTCCAACAATTACACGGGATGGAGGTCATGCATGCTACTAGTTGAATAAAAATTGCACAGCCAAAGGGTGTTAGCCATCTTAACATTCGAGGAAGAAGACTTTGATGAGTGGCAATACATAAACATAGAAGGGATGGAAATCGTACTTAACCTACTAGAAGAAGAATGTGCCAAGTCAGATCCCAAACAAAAAGAAATAAAAAAGATGATGGTGTGCTACTACGACACTCACATTAAGGAGAAGTCCTTTAGAGAAAGGAACCTGGTCCTGAAGACAACCAATCCAATGGCGTGGGACCAAGACTTAGAAAAACTCGATATACGTGGATTGAGCTGTTCATCATCAGGAGACAAATTGCTCTAAGAGCTTACAAGTTGCAAAAATTCACCGACAAAGAAGTACTTCAAATATAGAATGGGGATGATTTAAACTTCTAAATGCTATGTAACTTGTCCACGCTGAACTCACTTTAGCAGCTGATTTGTCATATTTATCATAAAATTAAAAAAGAACTTATTTGACAATGCTGTTTGTACTTTAATAAGGGTGTGACATATGTAAGAAAGACATATTACTACACCGTTGGAAAGCTGAAAGCACTACAAAGGAGCTTACCTAGTATCGAAGTAATACCTGTAGGAGAGCTGAAGAACCTTAATAGGTGAAGGATAGTTCTTACCTGAGAAGTTGGCAATCATCCCATCTCAAAATGAGTTTGATAAAAATGAGCAACAAAAATGAGCAACATAACCTTTAATAATTTTAATACTTACAATAAAAAATTATGCAAATAATAACACTCTCACTCCCTTCCAAATCTCACATCCCCTTACCCATACTTATAGATATCAACTATGAGGTGCAATCTGTTTGTGAAAAGAACTCAACCTTAGGAGTATTGGAAATTGGCAAAGAGGATGAGAGGTTAGGTCAAGAAAGAAAAAGAATGCGTCTTAACTAAGGGGAACTCACCTCTAGAGGACAGTTAAATAACAAAAAGACTTAGGTTGAAGGCCATTCAAATTATTATGAAACTAAGTAAGAGAAATCACAGAGGTACGCAGAAAGAAGTTACAAGTATGCTTAAAAAGACAATATAAGTATTTAACCCCTCACTATCTGTAAATAAATACATATAAATTTTCATAATAATTTTTTGGTCACTTTTCCAAGTATCAAAGTCACTTTTCCTTTAAAGAATGAGATCTTTTTGCATCCTTTAGTTGAATTGAGAGACCACCTCTTCAGAATCAAATCCCTTGAGCTAGTGGTAGAGTCTATTTTCGTTATTTTCCTTTTTTATTTTTGAAGGAATCTCCAACTTGTGTATCATCATATTATTTCCTTTTTTCAGAGTAAATTTCTCTTACGTATTATATGGATGATATGGAGAAGAGATAAATCGGAAAAGACGGAACATACGATAAAGAAGAAAAACAAGAAAAGACATGTGGAAAACTTTTATGTAGTAAATTTTGCGCCATAGCCCAAAATCGTACGTATGAAAAAGATAGGATCAAAAATGCTTGGGCAAACATATCGCGAAGAAGACTTACGAAAACAACCCACGACCAGAGATTCAAGTGTGTGTGCTTGTTCTGGGGTCA